AAAAAAAAAAAAAAAAAGGTAGCAGAAGTCTCTCTGACTGCCCAGAAAAATATAGGGTTTTTCCCCCCACAAACAGTGTTAGGGAAATTAGATTTCCATGGAAATCTAGGTCTGTATCTCATCTATACCAAGATCCATTCAAAAAATATGTCAAAGATCCAAACTCTGTGGTCTAGAAGAAAACGGCAAACACTTGACTCCCAGGCACCAGCAAAGACATCCTGACCAGGACTCCAATAGCAGAGGAAATAATGGCAACAATCCACAAGGAGTGTGTCAATATCATACATTTCAGTAAACATTCTTTCCCATCATTCTATAATTATTTGCAGTTCATTTTCCTGCCTCCAATGACATTTCTCACTGTCATGCTATTGTTTTTGTTTTTTGTTTTGTTATGTATTTGGTACAGGGTCTCAAGCAGCTTGGACTTGCAGTGATCCTCCTGTTTGCAAGCTCCCCAGTGCTGGGATTATAGGCGTGCACCACCATGCCTGGTCTGGGTGGCCAGCTTTGCACTCCCAGGGCGGGGTGGGGCTGGCGCCTTGACCTTGCAGCATGCTGGTGCTGGGGATTGAACCCCAGTCCCTGCACTTGCCTAAGCAGGTGCTTAGTCTGCTGAGCTCTCACTGACCCTTGTTTGTTTTTATCTTGGGTTTTGTTTTGTTTTGTTTTGTTTTTTGGCGGAACCGGGGATTGAACTCAGACCCTTGTGCTTGCCAAGGAAGCACTTATTCCACTGAGCCATCTCCCTGGCCCCCTTGTTTGTTTTTGAGATAGTGTCTCACTGTGTGGTTCAGGCCAGCCTTGAACTCAATAGCAGTTTCCTGCCTGAGCCTCCTGAGAGCTGAGAGTATATACCCAGCCTCTCTCACATTTAATCAGCTTATTGTGACAAGTGCATTGGGTAACTGCAGAGCACTGGATCTGAGTCTACAGAAATGCTCACAGGTTACTTTTTCACTTGAACCTAGAATGTTACAATTCTCAGTTTTGGGGCAAATTTAAGGTTATTAGGAAGTTGGACACTGCCTCAAAACCAAATCAAATGTACAACAAATGATGCTAAAATCTAGAGATGGATTTTTTTTTTTTTCTAGTGCTAGGGATAAAATCCAGAGTCCTGTGCACTAGGTAGCGCTCTACTACTGAGCTATATCCTCAGTACTAGAAGTGAACTTTTAGAGAATGATATATATTTGTTTTTCATTTTTTTTATTTGTTTAAAACAGGGCCTCACTACAAAGTTTAGGCTGGCATTGAACTATGTAGCCTAGGCTAGTCTCTTAACTCATGATAGCAATCCTCTTGCCTCAGCTTCCCAAGTGCTGGAATTGTAGACATGCTGTTCATCATGAGCCACTTTTAGTTTCTTTTGTTTTAGCCGACTCGGGCCACGCTGAAGGCACAGTTGGTGCGGCACATGGTACAGGGTTCAAACCGTGGCCCCCTGTGCCTACCTAAGCTTGCCTAAGCAGGCCTTTTAAACCACTGAACTATCTCACAGGCCCATGAGCCACTTTTAGGTCATGATTTTTTTGTGTGTTCCCAGTGAGGCAGAAGATTAGGACACAGAGTGGACGGGCAAGTAGGGATATAGCCTGTCAGTCATGGCAATATAGGGCCTCTACAGAGCAGCTGCTGAGCCCTTAACCTGGTGCAGGCCCAAGCGGGTGGACTGATTCTTCTGACACAAGGTCAAGCAGGTTTCTGATAGGATGGCCTAGACCTGAGGTCAGACTGAAGGCTGCTAAGAATACTGGCCATTAACCTCATGGCTGGTGAAAGCCTTTTCATTGGTCTGCTCCACACATTCCAGGCGGTACTTCTGACTTCAAATGGTCCACGTGCACTCGGCAGTGCAGTTCTGTTCTTACATGTTGTCTTAGTTACTTTTTATCCCTTGCTGGGACAAATACCCGACACTCAAAATGAAGGAAGGAAAGGTGTATTTAGCTCACAGTTGGGGAGGCTTCAGTTCATACTGTGCTGGCCCCAACGCACATGGCAGCAGTTCATGGCTGCAGAAAACCGTGAAGAATAGAGGAGGAGCAGCAGCTGCGGCGTCTGTCAAGCCTCTCTCTTCCTTCTACACCGGCGCTCGCGAAGATCGTAGCTCCTCTGAAGACTAGAACTTTACCAAGGAAGCGGAGCGGGGCCGGGGACATAGCTCAGTAGAGGGCTAGGGACATAGCTCAGCGCAAGGTCCTTAGTTCAATCCCCAGTACCACCAAAAAAAAATAAATAAATAAAATAATAATAATAATAATAATAATAAATAATCTTTGGGCCAGGGAGATGGGTCAATAGAATAAGCCTTTGCCTGGCAAGTGCAAGGGTCTGAGTTCAATCCCTGGTTCAAAAAAAAAAAAAACCAAAAACTCCTTTATGTATACATTTCATGCTGAGTCACTCTGGGGCGACCCATGGCCCTAGGGTGGAACCAATCGCACCCCAGTGCCAGCTGCCCAGTCGCGCTCTAGAATGGAACCAATGACAACGGCCCAGTGGCGCCCCAGGGTGAAACCAATAGTGCCCGAGTTTGGCCCTGCCCGCCTGCAGGGCTGGGTCCCCCATGACCCATGGAACTGCCAGAGCCTATTCAGCCAAGTTGACACAATGTATCAACTACCACGCATGGGATGCCATTGGGTGACAGGGCTGGTTGCTTATCTCTGCTACTGCCATCATTCACTGCCATCTTGGGCCAGATACTGTTGTCAACTGCGATGGTTGCTGTAATCCTGCCTTTTTTTTTTTTTTTTTTTTTGAGATCAAGTCTCACTGTGTAGTTCAGACTGGCCTCAAACTCACAGCAATCCTCCTACCTCAGCCTCCTGAGTGCTGGAATTACAGCCATACACCACCATACCCTCTACCCTGATCTTCATTAAGCTACTGGTCTCGATGTCAGAGCTTTTTTCTTTAAACTTTTAAAATTTTATTTATTTATTTATTTATTTTTGCGGAACCGGGGATTGAATTTAGGCCCTTATTGTTTTTTAATGTATTTGATACAGGGTTTCACTACGCAGCTCAGACTCGTAATGATCCTCCTGTTTTATGCCTTCCCAGCACTGGAGTTACAGGCGTGCACCACCATGCCGGATCTCTGTGGCTGGCTCAGCGGACCCGGGGCTGGCGTGGCGTATGGTGTGGGGATGGAACCTCAGTCCCTGCGTTTGCCTAAACAGGCGCTTGATCCACTGAGCGATCTCGCCAGCCCTTTTTCTTTAAAAGCAGCTGCTCCATCCATATTACTCAAGATAAGAATCCTTAAGAGATTCATAGAAACTTCCAAGCCTACACTACCTAAGAAATAAATTGTGAGGTGATGTGCAAGATTACCAGAGCAAGACTCGATTTTAACAAATTTGCTGCAGGACAGGGGTCATACACCAGAGAGCCCTCTTAGACTAACTGCAGGAGGACTATAAACTGCATAGCCACAGCAGGCTAGAATCTCCGAGAGGTGTGGGGAACTGTTGTTAGCACAACTATCACGCGAGCAGGTGTGACGGAACTGGGGATTAAACTCAGACCCTTGCGCCTGCCAGGGAAGCGCTAATTCCACTGAGCCATCTCCCCGGACCCCTTCCACTCCCTTGGAACCCTTGATCCTATAAACTTCCTTTGAAGCACTGGAAGCCTAAACGCACGTTGTCTTCCAAAAGCGGCCATGGTCCCTCCAGGCCGACAGGGGGCAGCAGGCTTTCAGCAGTGCGCCTCGGGTTGCTCCGCCCCACTCCGGGAACGTCACGACCTCTCCACGTCGCTCGTGCGCAAGCGCAGGCTGCAGCGCGCGCCGTCTCGTCAAGGGAGGGGTCACGAACTCTGACCCCTCCCCCCAATATACAAACCCGGCGAGCTGTTGTGCCCATTCTCCTCAGTGCCTCTTCAGCTTCCTCCTTCCTCTCGTCCAGCCACCCGGCGCCCGGCCCAGCGGACTGTCGGGCCTCGCCGGCCTCGGGAGGCAGCACGGTAAGCAGCCGGGCGGCGAGCGCCGTGGCCTTGGTGGCGGTGAGGGTGCCCCTGGGTCCCCTCGGCCAACGGGCGTCGCCCCGCGCCTTCGGGTGGCCGGTCCGGCCCAGGTGCCTCGCGAGCCGCCGGCGTCTGTGCGAGCTTGGGGCCCAAGGTGGCAAGCCGGGAACTGTGGGGAACACGCGCCTCTGACCTTTCACCTCCAGGAACCGCTTCCGCCGGGCGCCTGGGGGCGCGGAGCAGCGGGGGTGGCAGATCCTTAGCTCAGTGCGGGGATCCCTCTCCCGGCACCACGGACCGATGCTCAGGCTTGCACGGGACGCTAGGAAAATGCCTTTCACTTCCACTTTCTTCCCCCCGCAAATAGGGAGAGATCCCAAACCGTTGGCTTGGATCGAGGTTTTTGGAAACAGGGTGGGATCCTCAGGACGTGGGGCACGTCCGATCTTCCAGTAGCTCTTTTGTTGAGCACGCTGCCTTCAACTGGTGTAGATCGCGTTTATGAAATACCTACCAGTGTTGCCAGGCTAGCTGGGTGTGGTAGCGCGCGCGTGTAATCGCAGCACTCTGGAGGCTGAAGTAGGAGGGTGGGGTGAGTTCGAGCCCAGCTTAGGCTCCACAGTTTAAGGCCAGCCTGAATTGCAGGACGAGACTTTGTCTCAAAGACAAATAAATAAATAAATGTTTCCAGGTCGTCCGAGAACCTTCAGTAAGTAGGACAGCCAGTAAATAAAGGGGGAGAAGGGCAACAAGACTTGAAATTAAGTCCGTTATGGTGTTCTTCTGCATGCGTGCGTGCGTGCATGCATGCGTGTGTGTGTGTGTGTGTGTGTGTGTGCGCGCGCGTGTTTTGCCTCTGGCACTTTATAAATGATAGAGCCCGGACAAGGACCCATCTAATCCATGAGCCCACTCACCGTCCTAGAGAAAGATAGGTTTCATTCTACTTGGGTTATGAGCAGTACCCAGATGCCAGATGACCTCTCACCAGGTAACAACGGATACAGCAGCAAACCACCGTCCTCTGACCCACCTCAGAAGTCCACCAAAAAACCCCCCAAAAAACCTCTCATTCCTGAGACCTATTTGTTCTGCTGAAACAGAGTCCCTATCAGATTTAGCAGTAAACCTGCTTTCTTCTTCTTTTTTTTTTTTAAACCTGCTTTCCATGGCGAGTTCTTACACCACTTCCCTGCTCCTAAGTATGCCTTTGACTTGGAGGTATTTTGAAACCGTTGTCCGTTGTCCGTTTGTCTGGTTGGGTGAGAAACACTAACAGTTCTTAAAGTTTGTGTCCAGTTGGTCTATCTGAAAGCGAGCTATGGAATTGAACTCAAGCTGTACAGCTAAAACGAACTGTGGGGGGCGGTCTGGGACTTTGCAGCTTTGGAGACAGGTTCAGATAGCCTTGATCCTGTGTTCTAGGGAAGGCGGGAATCCTTGGATTTTTGAACACTAGAAAAGAGGGGGTGGGTGTGGTGGTGAAGGCCTTTGCTTATAGTACTAGGAATTGATGGAAACCTGCTCCTGAATCCTAGTTAAGCATCTTGCACCACACAGAAAGTGTGGGAACCATCTAGAAATATTAGATGACTAATGTGGTAGTTGGGGGATATAGAAGCTCCCCTGGTGTAGAGTTTTAAACTTTCTCTGATTTCAGTCATATGCAGTCAGCTGCTGATCCCAGCTTCCCAGTGGTGCACTGGCTGGAGGTTTGAGGGAACCTCTTGAAGCTTGGCATAGCTACAGCGTGGCTAATGGCATGAATGTGAATGTGAGTTTTTCTGGTGAGGATGAGGAAAACCTGATTTTCAAAAATAAAAGTCATTGTTTCCAGTCACATTTTCAGATGTGTTTATTGCATACCACAGTAACAGACTTTGCTCTGGACACTCACACCACACACACATAAAACTGAAACATCCTCACAGGCTCTCCTTCATCTTCTGTCTCTGATGCACTGGTGTGTTGTTTTGCTGTTCCATTCTGTTGAGACCTACACATGAGTTTCCCCATCCGTAGGTGGTGGCTTATGACAGATCCTGCAGACTACTGCTTTGGGTGACAGCATCCCTCATGGAGTTGAGGAGGGACCCCATTAGCAGGACTGGGGGAGGCCGCCATTGGGAAAAGATGACCGTGAGTGACAGGGCCAGAATGAGTCCAGAGTAGGCCTGAAGTCATTGAATCTGGGGAGAAAGATGGCTTTCTTCTTCTCCACCGATGGCTTTCTTCCATCTCTGTCAGCAGATGTGGTGATGAGACGACTGTCCCTGGACAGAGGAGTGCAGGGCTAACGGGACTAAGTCCTTGGAGGGAACTACTCCAGAAAACAGGACGATACCCTCTTGCTCCCTGCTTTCTCCCTCAGGCTGGAAAAAAAAAATACCTGTCCTTCAGTGACGGACTCAGATGTCCCTTCGGTAAAGTCTTCTTGGGCATGTGATGGGGAAACTTTTAGAGACAGTGCCCAAAGTGCAACGCAAGACTGCTTGCTTACTGCAGAGTGCTAGCGCTGCAATTAAACCTGAATCCAGAGGTTTTAGTTTAGAAAAATCAACTCATACATTGACGTCTTTTGTTGTCTTAAAAATGGCATGCAAGCCATATGTTTGTGACCACTGTCCTAGGCTGCCCTTCTTGGGTTCATTTAGTGAGCATTCTGTTTGTGGAGCTTTGATTTTTTTTTTTTCCTTTTTTTAAACTTACATTGCTACCCATTGGTGTAGGTATTTATAACTAAGTGATAAAAATGAAATTGGAGCTTTGAATTCTAGGATTTTTGTTATCCCACTTGAATTATAATGTTTTTTGTTGTTTTTCCTTTCCCCTGGAGACTGAACTCAAATCATTTGTACTTCCCCAGCCCTTTAAAAATACCAACCATACCCCCTAAGGTGGCACTTTCTTATAATCCCAACGCTCAGGAGGCTGAGGCAGGAAGATCACTGAGAGTTCAAGGCCAGCCTGGACTGTGCAGCACAGTACAGCAAACCCTATCAGAAAAGAGTAAATCTTAAGTGTTTTGTTTTGTTTTTTTGGGAAACAACTTTTTGTATCTATTTCATGCTTGATTTATTTCCATGCTATAAGTTTTTAATTGGTTTCTTCTAGTGTATCTTTTTCTTTTGTGGAACTTCTTTCTCTGTCTCAGGAATGTTTTGTTCCTCCTCAGTGAGGATCCTCTCTTGTGTTGGGGCGGCTCATGCATGAGTCAGTCCAGCCCTGAGCTCTGGAAGTACGACAGGCACATCTCAGGAGCTTTGTTCACCTGGCTGTGCTCAGTGACCAGAGCATCTGTACCTAAACCCTTAAGTTCAGCATTATTGTCTGTGTTTTTAAGTATGTGCAGCAAAAATTCACTCTTTTTGGGCCACTGACCCTGTGGCCAGCCCCACTCTGTGGTCTGGGCACAGCCGCCAACTCCAGCACTGTAATGCTGGAATGGCACACATTGCTTCTTTAATGAAAAGGTACTGGTGGCTTTTCAGATATGCACACCTTTGATGGCCTGGACAGTTTCCTGGGTGTTCTTAAAGTGAACATGAAGGTTTGAGCCCCTTGATTGACATAATTTTGTGGAGTTTCTGGATCAAGAGAGTAGTGAACCTGTCTGTCTGTCTGTCTCTGTCTCTGTGTCTGTCTGTCTATCTCTCTTTTCTTTCTTTCTGAGACAGGATCTTGCTGTGCAGTTCAAGCTGGTCTTGAGTTCACTTTGCAGCCCAGTCGGTCCTCACAATGATCCTCCTGCCTCAGCCTCCTTAGTTCTGGGGTTATAAGCCTGTGCCTCCACACTGGCCATAAGTTTTTTTCTTGTTGGTGCATGTGTGCCGTACAGAATGAGTGCGTATCTCCTGGGGGGGCATGTGTCTACGTAACCCCACCACCCCTTCGTGGGGGTTGTTTGTGTTCTGTTCTTTTGTTTCTGAGGTGGACTGTTGCTGTGTTGCCCAGGCAGGTCTCAGGTTGGTTTCAGTGCCTTCCTGCTCACCACCACTACCACCCCACCTCCCAGGAGCTGCCCCACAGGAGTGCAGTGCTACCTTGCCCTTGCCTGGCAGAGCATTAAACAAAACCCAAGTTTTAAGGGGAAGGAAGAAAACAGTATGCATGTATTTGGCTTGCAGCTTGAGGCTATGAAGGCCAAGAGCCTGGTGAGGGCCTTGTGCTGCAGGGCAGGGAAGGGACAGAAGGGGCAGCCACATGTGGGGACTGATCTCTTCTGGGTGATGCACCCATTCCCTTGGCAATGCTCATTCCCTGGGAAACGGATCCACCCTCCCCTGTACCACACGGAAGCTCACCAGGCTTCCTCAGTCACATTGCCTGACTCTTTCCCAGTGTGCTTAACCAAATTCAGGACCATTGGTAGTTTTCCTTTCTTTTCCTGGTACAGGGGATTGAACCCAGAACCTTCACACTGAGTTATTAACCTTTGTTCGTATTTTTACTTCTTGAGACAAAATGTTGCTAAATAACTTAAGTTCCCCAGGTGGGGCTCAAGCGAGGCACCCTCCTGCCTCAGCCTCCTGTGTAGCTGGTGTTACAGTGTATGCCACCATGCCCAACACAACTGATAAAATTTTTTTAATGGTAGTAAAATTTTATTAAAGACAAGAATAGAAACAGGCTCTGCAGAGCAAGTTTTGGCCAAGTAAACATAAGAGAAGTAGTATACCCTAAGCCATGCAAGAGCGAACAAGGTGGCCATGACTGGTAAATTTTATTTTTTGTGGGTTCCAGGAATTGAATTCAGGACCTTGTACTTGCCAGGCAGGCGCTGTGCCACTGAGCAAATACTTGAGTTCTCATAGGCTTTATAAGGCAGATATTTTGTTGTCATTATAGTCACTGCTCCAGATTTTCAGGTGCTGATACCTAAGTTTTGGTGAATAATTGGTGAGCTACAGTAAGAACACTGTGCAGTGGTTAAACAGCAATAGCTTGGGTTTTGTTTTGTTTTTAAATCATTCATTTATTTATTTATTTGTTTGTTTTTT